AAGCTGTAGTTTGATTTTCCGCTTCTCGTTTCCATTTCTTTTTTTTTCATCCCTCTTCTGACACCAATTTGTTACGTCTCCGTTCGTTAGTTAATTTTCCGTAAATTCGTTCCGACGAACTTTAGCGACACAAGTCTTTTCTTAATAAAACTGGTTTATTCTTTCCGAATACAACTTTACGATACACTTAATTTTAACAGTCGCTCTATAACAAACGAGGGCAACAATATTCTGTCCGCATACATTCAATTACTCATTACCTACACATTGTCCCGTCACGTTGTGACTATCTTATATATACCAGACTACCCCCAATCTAGTAATCTCCCGACAATTCACGAAAGTTCGAGAAGGAAGTGGCGTGATACTAGTCACGTGACCTCGCTGACGCAACAGTATATTATACAAACCGCAAGTGCACATGCATTCGTGAAATAAATGTGTTTAGAAACTATACCTGAAGTACGTGTTTAAACTCCAAGTTAACCTAATTAAAAATAATCTGTTTCAGTGCTATTTACAGTAAAACGTAGCTTAAATCACAAATATTCTGTATAAAGTGCAATTAATATCATTCTTCTATAAAGTTACGAGTTTTAATTCTGACTTCAAGAAAATGATTCAGTATATTGGTTTCATTAACCCTAAGTATCCACTGTTTAATATTAGGTCATGTATTTTTACTGGTGGCATGTTATAATAATAAATTGAAAACTTACAATTAATTCTTATTTTTCTACATATCACGGATATATTGCTAAAAGTAACGAGGAGGGACATGAATAAATTATGTTGGCCATACACATCTGTTAGCTCTGAGTAAGAACAAAGCCTATGGCCAAAAACAACAAACTAAAATCATTAAACGGCGATTCATAATTGTAATCATTAAAAATTATCGAACATTATTTCATGTTGAAATAGAGTGGAGTGAGAATGAGTGAAACGAATTTTCTGTTAGCCACTATTTTATTTTTCATTTACGTACTTTATTGTACACGTTCGTGAAGTTTTGTTTGTTTTTATGGATTTCGTGCAAAGCTACACGAGGGCTATCTGCTCTAGCAGTTCCTAATTTAGCAGCGTAAGACTAGAAGGAAGGCAGCTAGTCATCACCACCCACCGCCAACTCTTTGGCTACTCTTTTACCAACGAATAGTAGGATTGACCGTCACATTATAACGCCCCCAAGGCTGAAAGGGCGAGCATGTTTGGTGGGACGGGGGATTCGAACCCGCGACCCGCAGATTGCGAGTCGAGCGCCCTAACCACCTGGCCATGCCGAGCCTGTTCGTGAAGTTTCACCTACCAATCCACCTGTTTCGTCAGATCATGCAAGCTACACGAGCTTTGAATGAACTACAACATACTTGTGTAGCTGTTTTGTTAATGTTGCTATGGGAATTAACAACAACATGTTCCATACAAGACTTAGAAGCAATAGTTATCTTACCTTTCGCTTCGTCATCTGCATAAATAAACAGTATAAAGGTTTAGAACTTACAGGAATTCTTGTTGTTATAATTTACAACTTTATATAAAGCAATGGAGCTGACATATACATTAAAAAGAAAAGAAAACTTATGCTGAGCGACTTTAAGACACTCCCTTGAACACCAAACGGATTTGAGATTTATTTCAATGCGCTGTGAAACTTATACTTTACAAAACTACACAAATAAGAGTTAACATCGAAACTACATGAATCTAGTTTACGTAGAATAATGTAATCCCAGGTGAAACTTAAAACAGGATTTGACGTAGAGGTTTAATGCATTCCTTGATTGGCCGTATCTTCTGCTGTGGACTGCTGTTTCGCCTATTCAAGGCTTATCAGTACATCTTGAGTCAGCAAACCAAAGAAATACCATTAAGCCCCTTATAATGATGAAATGTATGTAATATCTATGGTGTTTTAAGTCTGTTTTACTTCACAATATAGTAACATATATGTGTGTGTGTGTATATATATTGTTGCATCAGCGAGGTCACATGACTAGTATCACGCCACTTCTTTCTCGAACCTTCGTGAATTGTCGGGAGATTACTATATTGGGGGTAGTCTGGTATATATAAGATGGTCACAACGTGACGGGACAATGTGTAGGTAATGAGTAATTGAACTGCAGTCAGAGAGTGTGTGATTGAGTATTGTCGAG